GATGGTTGTTTGGTTGGTATGGATGGATGGATGGATGGATGGATGGATGGATGATGGATGGATGGATGGATGGATGGATGGGTGGGTGGGTGGAAGGCTGGTTGGTATGGATGGGTTGGTTGGTTGGTATGGATGGATGGATGGTATGGTTGGTTAGTATGGATGGATGGATGAATGGATGGTTGTTTGGTTGGTATGGATGGATGGATGGATGGATGGATGGATGGATGATGGATGGATGGATGGATGGATGGTTGTTTGGTTGGTTGGTTGGTTTGTTTGTTGGTATGGATGGTTGGTTGGTTGGTTGGTATGGATGGATGAATGGTTGGATGGATGGTTGGTTGATTGGTTGGTATGGATGGTTGGTTGGTTGGTATGGATGGATGAATGGATGGATGTATGGTTGGTTGATTGGTTGGTATGAATGGTTGGTTGGTTGGTTGGTTGGTTGATTGGTATGAATGGTTGGTTGGCATGAATGGATGGTTGGTTGGTTAATTGGTATGGATGGATGGATGGATGGATGGATGGATGGTTGGTTGATTGGTATGGATGGATGGATGGATGGATGGATGGATGGATGGATGGATGGATGGATGGATGGATGGTATGGATGGATGGTTGGTTGGTTGGTTTGTATGGATAGATGGTTGGTTGGTTGGTATGGATGGATGAATTGATGAATATGTCAGTACGTATCTTTAACATAAATCATGTATAACAAGAAATTTAAAAACTGAAGGTACTCTGATATAAGAGCATGGTGACATTTCGTGGTGTTTTCATGAGAAGCTAATGTAGCGTGGCGGTGTGCAGACAGATGGTGACTCACCCCTGCGAGGTCATTGATCATCAGCTTCAGTGTTTAGGAGTGTGTGGTGCAGGAAGCCCGGGGAGCAGCACCCCAGTCCTCAGTTAATTGCAGGGGCAGGTAGATTACCCTCTGATGCTCCTCCCTCCTGCATTAATGTTGAACCAGAGGCAGTCCCCTCCTAACTGTCTTTAGATTTATCATTATGACTCAATATGTAATTAATGAAATACATTAGACATCTTTCTGATTAACAACCAGGTGTATTTTTAAAGTTGTGGAATGCAGGAATCAACCATGTGTGTGTTTTTATATAGCWGCTCAGCATAAAGAAGATGAGAGACAAGGCTTTAGAGTTAGATGTGAAGAAAGCACACCTATGTTTCCTTTTTGCTTTCTCCCTTTACAGTTCCTGTTTTCTTTTCTTTTTTTCCAGAACAAAGAATAAGCTGTGGTACTTTGAGTTTGGCACTTCAGAGACCTTTTCGGCCACGTGTAAGAAGCTCCATGACTTCTTGGAGTTGGAGGTAAATCAAACTGCTGTTTGCGATGAGCCGTAAACTGGAAAAAGAACAAATGCAGAAGAAAAAGTTAATCTTTCTTACAAACTCTTATGAGTGCAAAAACTCATTTATCCTCTGCATTACTGAGAATATTATACCAGCCTGAAGGTGAGAATGATTGTGCAGCTAAGAATCATTCTGGTCACCYCGTGTTCCATAAATACGCTARTTTCAGATTTAGACAAAGTGTTGATGTGCGAAGGCTACCTCTGCAACTCCCCACCCGCCTCTCATAGATCCACAGTTCAACATTCAGGTAATTAGCTCAACATGACCCTGCTGYGTGTGATATTGAGTGATAATGAAGCCGTTGTCGATACAATTCATCTTCCACCTTCACAGAGCTATCCACACACTGCAGAGGTCTTCATCAATTAGCGCTCTTATAAGCAACTGCAATATGAGAAAGATGCAGGTATGGAGATGAAGGCAGTGTGGAGAGTACATTCCTCAGAGAAGCTGTGGAGTTGTGGACAAGAACTGCTTTGTTTCTTTAGAATTTTTTTTATAAATAAAGTTGAATAATTTTTTTTTGCTCAAACCAATAACCCTAATTCACCAAATACCATGAAGGACGTGCCGCCACCATAATCCCTCCTTTCTTTTCCTTTCACAGTGTGATGGCGTTACTCTGGACCTTAGCAGCATCTCTTTGGAAGGTATTGCAGTTCTCAACATTCCCAGCATGCACGGGGGCTCCAACCTGTGGGGCGAGAGCAAGAAGAGGCGGGGTCAACGGAAAGGCGGCAAAAAGAGCCAAGAAAAACGGACGCCWGTGGTCGACCCCAAAGAGCTCATGTTTGCGGTGCAAGGTAATGTTCATGGACTCTTTTTGGGAATGAGCTGATCATAACACTTATCCAAACTGAAATCTAAAATAATAAAACACATTCAGGGAAAAATATCCTCTTTAGGTAGCTCTACAGACTCTTGAGCCCGTTTGTCTGTGTCCTTGCTCCTCTCAGACAGATCAAAGACCAAACTTTTAGCTAAACTTTTCCACAGCACATGAATTTTTTACTCATGACAAGGTGAATCACAGCCAGCAGGTTTTGTTTGCAAAGAAGAGGTAAAATCACGTCAGTGTGTGGAACTGTCACTTGGGTATTAATGGTCTGTGTGGGCGGCGGCGGCGGACAGGCTCTGTTAATGGGAGTGTACTGAGTGGGGGTGTTGGGCATACCCTTGAATCCATTTACGTCAAAAAGAAGCCCATCAAGAGGAACGTATGAATGAACAAAACAGAATGAGTCAGCTACTTCATGCTAGGTGGAGGAATGGCCTGAATCACCAACAGGAATTGTTTGGAAGTGAGATAAATATTTAGAAAACTGCAATTTTTTTATGATGATTCAGACATTTTCAGGGACGTRCTTGAAAGTGTTCATCTCTGTTTTTGTCATAAAATGTTCATACTAAAGGCAGGTTTTCTGCATGTTTTCTGCACATACGTTGGTTGGGGTCAGCTGTGCCTCAGTGTTGGACTCATAAATGTATCGGGTCACATTCCGGTCCAATTTGTGAACTGTTTAGCAGAAAATACGTTTTAGTGACTTGAAGTAATTCGATAAAATCTAAATGTATGTTTAAAGGAGACATATGATGCTTTTAAATTATTTTTCTCTGTATTCTTTTTCACATTTATATCCTTCATAAAGTGGAACTGCAATGCTTTAGTCTGAATTCCTCTTTATTGTAACTCCACAAGAGCCTCTTTCACCCCTTTTCCAAGCTGTGTCTCAGAACAAGTCGTTTTGATGCTTTCTCTTTAAAGGGGTTTACTTTAATATAGTGATGCAGAAACTTTGATTGATTAAAAGATGTCAACAAGGGAAGACTTGTCCATCCAGCCATACTTATTGAAGCCAGTCTGACCCCGAACCAGAAGAGAATGAAGACCACCAAATTGTAGTTGGTCCAGACCTTATTTAGCAGTTCTGTCACAAATACTGACATAATAGATCAGAAAAAAATCATAGAAAACTGAACGGGTTGAAAAATATGACCCAAACACAATATAAAGATATCTATTTAGCACAGGGGTGGGGCCACAGGGGCAATGGCCTCAGCTGAAATCTGATTGGCCCCTGAGTGACTCAGTTCTTCTGTCCTTTGCCCGAGAGTGATGGTGGTGCTATTGAGTAAAATATGAAGGTCCAGCATGAGTTAAGCTTACAGAARGCTTCTCTTCCTAAGAAAATTTGAACAATCCTGCAGAAAAAAATATTTAACTGATAGATGATGGCTGGATTTTCTCACATGCTCTGTCTTTGAGACTATTTCATCAATGTTTAGTAAAATGCATGTTAAATTGGTAAGGGGAATTTAATATTCAAGACTTTTTAAAATTACATTACAAGTGAATGAACATGAGTGACTTGTTAAAYGTATGCATCTTAACAAAACTGGGGATTTGTGTGCAACAATGTTAAATAAATACTTGGCCCTCCCAGTATGAATCTTAATGGCCCCTTACTCAGAAAAATCCTAGATCTACCACTGACGTAGCACTGAGACAGACTCAATTCAACTTTTCTGCCTACTAGAGACTCAAAGTAAACAACAAAATGCATTTAACAGCTAAAAAGTGGATTTAGCATGATATGTCTGCTTTCAGCTGATGTAATGATGTGCTAGCACACTACCCTGAAAGGCAAAGCGTACCATCTGTGCAGACTGACCACTTCCTGTCATCATATAGAGTTACATCTGTGAATCATGCCTCATGGTTTGGGACATGTTTTGTGACAGTTTATGTTGAAAATGTCACATGATCATATGTAGTTTTTTTAAGCAAACCACCGATCTGAACAAAAAAAGTTACCTCTCAGCTTGAATCATACTTTAAAATTCATTATTTTCTCTGTTTAGGTATATAGAAACATTATCTGCAGCCTGCTCAGGTGATGCACAGGATGTTCTGAAGGTTTCCTGCTGAGTCGCTGTGTCTGGATGATGCTACAGTCAGTGTCAGGCTTCAAACATGACAAGCCGCTGAGAATCTCCAGACACTGAGCCCTTCTGAGACACTGGTCAGAACGAAACTAGTGGATAAACAGATCTCTGTGAAGCTGCCTGTGAAGGCTTATTCACATTRTTTTACAGGGTTTGTTTTCTACAGGATTGTTGTTGTAAAATTCTGATGGATCTCAGGTTAAGCTGTAATTCACGTTAAGAAAATTGGGGAAAACTGCTGGAACTCACAGCATGAAATGTTAAAGAAGTAACAAAGAGGAAACACACATCAAGCTGAAGGTAACACAAATGTAAGGACTCTTCTCCAGAGGAGACTGCGACGTTGATCAGCCCATTGCCCGACCTTGTAACAGTGAACACTCCATTAATTTCCTGAATAAAAATCAATCTTTGTCTGTGTTTGGGTGAAGAAAAACCTGGGAAGGCTCTTAGTCTGAGTGTAGGGTGTGCAGCATCCAAGTGTGTTTGTGCTCATTTGAGTCGGCCTGCGTATTGATGTGTTGGGTGTCCACTTGTTATATGTGAGAATAGATGCCCTTGTGGAAGGTGCCCTCAAGGAGAGCGGCCTAACTTGTCAGATCAAGAGAGCAGAGTATTTATAGGTAAACAAAGAAGAGCCTCGGCCCACGGGGGCCACCGGCGAGCACTAACCACAGATCAAAACTGTTGGCAGGGATTATATTTGGTGAAAGTGTGTGTGTGTGTGTGTGTGTGTGTGTGTGTGTGTGTGTGTGTGTGTGTGTGTGTGTGTGTGTGTGTGTGTGTGTG